AAACTTCTTTCAAAGAACAGAAGATACAAACTCTTGGTTGCAATTTTTACATTTTGCGGACAATGAGGTTTATGATCCCGAATCGCACCCTAATCCAAAATTGTGTAAAATATGGCCTTTGTTCGAGCGTTTGAATGGGAAATTTATGAACGCATATTCTCTAAGTAAAAACGTTTCTATTGATGAAAGTTTGATGTTGTATAAGGGGCGCCTTGGTTGGGTGCAATATATGCCACTCAAAAGAGCTAGGTTTGGCATAAAATTTTACATGTTATGCGAATCCGAATCTGGTTACATGTGGTCATGCATAATCTACACGGGTAAAAGGAACCATTTTGAAATGAGCAATTCAAAAATTTGCCTGTGTCATCACAAGTCGTGATGACACTATTGTATCCCCTTTTGAAGAAAGGGCACTGTGTAACTGACGGATAATTTTTATACGTCCCCAGAACTGGCAGAATTGCTAATATCGTATAAAACCGATATATATGGCACAGTTCGCCTGAACAGGAAAGGTATGCCTATTGAGCTAAAAAAAAAAGGAAGTTGAAAAAGGGAGAAATTGCTGCATATTCAAAAGGGAAAAGTCATGGTCCTGAAATGGAAGGACAAAAAGGATGTAGCACTACTTTCCACTGTGCACAACACAGAGATGATTGCAGTTACCCGGCAGGAAGGAAAAAAAATGAAACCAAAAGTGGTAGTGGATTACAATGGAACTATGGGAGGGGTCGACCGTGTAGACCAAAGACTAAGCAGTTACAATGTCACTAAAAGAAGAGGGAAAAAAATATTACAAAAAGATATTTCTCCATTTATTGGATATAAACACTATGGGAATTCATATGTGTTGTACACAAAATCTGGTGGAAAAAGAAGTCATCTTCAGTACAGGAACGACGAATAATAGAAAAATTATTGAAAAGTACCACTCGGTAGAATTTTCTGCCAAAAAAGGACGTCCTTCTGCTGATCACCCCCCATCACGTCTGTCTGAAAGACATTTTGTTGATTACATTCCACCAACGGAGAAAAAAAGTAATCCAACAAGACAGTGTATTATTTGCTGCTCAAAGAGAGACAGTAGAGGGAAGAAGGTAAGAAGAGAAACAAGATTCTACTGTCCAGATTGCGATGTTGGACTCTGTGCAGTACCGTGCTTTCGAATGTACCATACACGATCAAATTTTGATTAATAATTTCATAATAATTTATGTAAATGCACAGGATATAAATAAAATTTGTAATTCAAGATTAAAGCTAGGTATTCTAAGCTTTATATTTATAGTTAGTGTGAATTAACTCCAAAGTATAATGATTTCTGCCATACAGAAAGCCAACTTTACAGGTAAATACTCATTTATTACTCATTTATTTAAATAGATATTTTTACATTTATTTTTAGGAAATGTTGCATGCGAATGATGCTATTATGTTTAAAAAGATATGTATGTATGAAAATAAGCATAAAAAAAATTGACATTTTTTGATCCGTAATCCCGAAATAAAATGAGCCTGGAAGGGGTTAAATTTTTCAGCCTAATTCAAAGGTCTTATGATCAGCAGAAAGTCCCTAAATTGGTAGTTGACTCGAGTTTCTAGTCCCAGTGATCCCCTAGCTCTTTCTTTTTTTGTACTTATTTACTGTGTAAAAATGTATAGTAAAAATTTCAGTTCATGAAGTAAAAATACTTTTAAAATTATCTTTAAAAATATTGCAAATTTTTCACCTTAGCGTATTTTTTACAAATCCCTCTGATAGAAAAAAGTAAGGAAAGAAATTAACTTGGTTTCGGTGATTGATACCTCATGCAAATTATGTTTAACTTTTTCCAAAAGCATAGAGTTTAGCATATGGATATCAATAATTATGGATTATTTCTCATCTATTTTCTTAACATTTTTATTCCAGAATTTTCCTTCACACTGTAGTGTTTAACTTATGCATTTTGTATAATAATTTACATTGTTATAATTTTACGCGAAATGAAAAGATATTTAATTGTATAAGCTTGCTGAAAGATAACGGAAACAAAAATCCTATCACTTGCGGCAAGAGGTATTTGATGTTAATTCTTATATATTTTCTTTGATAGTTTTATTTAATTTCTTCATTTATGCATTACTACATAGTTCTTTTCAAAAAATATTTTCGTGCCCTATATCATATTCAGTTTCAGGAATGAGTTTCTCCGTGTAGGGTATATAATACTTAATTAACTTATGATATGAAAGATATCTAAATTCTCTTCTCATTTCTACTGTATTTTTTAAATTCAAACCCTAGAAATTCTCTAGAAATCGTTTTCATGGTTTAATTTTTACTTATTTATTTTATTTTATTCATACTTTAGCATTTTCTTTAAGTTATCCTTTATCAAACCGTTTCTAAATATTTCTCAGCAAATATATTTTTCACCAAGATAGTCAAGAATCGTTCGGAAACTGATTGAAAATTTAGTATTTTAAGTAATATACACTGATTCCGGTTGTAGGGGTGAAAAAGGTCAGAGCCAATAGTTGTGCTCATGGAATGCCTTGTAGCCCACAAGTTGTTACAAAGATGAATTTAATGCCTGCAAGAGTATTGAAAGTCCTCTGAAAATTCTTGTGTTAAGAGCAATTAACAAAAGGAAATCTAAAGTGATGTATAAAAATTAAACAAACAAAAAGAAATGATTTTTCACAGACAATTCAGTGTTCTCATCAATTAATCAGTTTTTTACTTCACGACAAGGCAAAAATACATAAAACTCAAAATCTGTATTAATTACAAAGTAACATTTTAAACCCTTATTTCCTGGAATAAATTCCAGAAAGGATTAAGCATGACTTAACTCGCAATATAATAAGAAGGCATTATCTTTGTTCTTGCCAAAGCATAGTTTCTCTAGATTGGCAACAAATCCTATATTTCTTTATTTTTATTTTCCTCTTGGCTACAGTTGGCTTCGTAAAATAAAATTGTAACCCTGTAGGCAACGGGGGAAAGAAATTTTGATCGCCGCAGTTGGACTATAGCAGGATGAGAGGGGGAATTTCATCAGCGCAGTTGGAGAACACCTGTTTAAAAGCTCTTTACTAGAAAAAATGAATTTTGAAATGCTTATGTTTCACTTCTTGCTTAGAACTCGAGTATCCCATCATTATATTAGAAATAGAAAAACAAATTTAACTCATGAACCCATACAAAAGATTTACCATATATAGAGCAGTGAATCCAAAAATATTCCTCAAAATGCTATTCACACTCAAATGGAGTCATAAAAACAGACAGAATTTCAGATGATTAAATTAAGGACTTGATGATTTTCGCCAAAATTAAGGACTTTTAACGACCAAAAACCGATTCCAAAAAATCTAAGGACTTTTAAGGACTGTACGAATCCTGGTTTTGATGTCAATCAAGCAAAAAGTGGAATTTCTACAAAAAAAAAAAAAAAAAAAAAGAGGGCATAACTGTCTCTAAATTGTTTGAGAAGTACTGTACAGTCAAAAGTCTTTAATCCGGACCTCAAAGCTACAAACTTTCTGCGCATGCGTCAACGCATAATGCGTTAATGCATGCGCATAATACGTTTACACATGCGCGTTTAATGTATAACGGACAGTATAAGCTAAGCTAAAATAATCTAATTGTCTAGTTCAGTTAATGTTGCAGATTGCGTTGTTCCTTAATCTTCTAATTGAATTTGGCTTATTATTTTTTGCAGACTGTTAGAGCAATTTTATAAAAGTAAACTTAAATTTTCGATTATGTCAAAAAGAATTTCCGATTCTGGAGCTACCAAAGGATCTACAAACCGAAAGCATGTTTCGATGTCCATCAAACAAAAGGTGGAATTGCTGCAAAAAATGGATAAAGGCATAGCCTTTCATTCTCTAACCATTCCGAAATATGTTTATCAATTTCACACTGCTCTGGGGGGGGACGCGGCGCACAATGAACTGGAAGTTGATCTGTCAGCATTATCCTTATCTTCAGGGCAGATGTTTTTATTTTATTCGGCTTATAATTCCTTACTAAATGTAGTATTTCATCTCAATGTACTCCGTCTTTGATATGATTTAAATCAAATTCCTCGTCATTATAAATATCACGAATACAAATCAAATAGTTTTCTGGTTGCAATTTTCTAATTTTGACTATGCTTTACGCATGCGCACGTTGAAAGAAATGTTTAATAAAGTAAACAAATAAATATTAAGCTTCTTTTTTTTAGTTTTTTTCTTTCTTTCTTTCTTTTTTTTTCTTTTCTTTTCTTTTTTTTTTTTGTAAATTTTGATACCCTTTAGATCACATAATTGCTCTTTATTTCATAAATTACAGTTTCATATTTTTAATTTTATAACTTCTGCATGCCATCTTACCAGATTTAAACTGATGATCTATAATCCAGAAAAACTGATAATCCGGAATCGTCGAAGTCCTGACGAGTCTGTATTAAAGACTTTTGACTGTATGGAAAATAAACATTTAACACTATTTTTAAAAAGTGCAATAGAAATAAAAACTTTAATAATACATTTAACTAGCCATATTTTACAATTTCTAGTAGCAATCATACATGAAAATAAACATTAATTAAAGGCAGATTTCCACAGAGAACAATTTGCTGTTACTTCAGTTTCTGCTCACCAAACATTTTCAAACTTTGTAATAGTATTTTTCAAATTTCATATTATTTCAAAGGCAACTTAATATTATGTTTTGAAGTTTCAAACAATACTGTTGAGGAATTTAACAAACTGTAGGCTCCTCAGAAGACAGCATTAAGGAATTTTACCATTACTTTCTTTAAAGACCAATACATATAATATTATGTTGGGAAAAAATTCTACTGTAAAAAATAAAGGCATTTAAACAACTACAAATTTATCAATTTCATTCAATTCAAGCAAGACCATTAAAATAATCAATATTAAAAAAATGAAAAAATCTTTTAACTTGGGTAATCAAAGCTTGTGCATTTGTACAAGAAGCTACTCATATACCATTTTCTTTTTCTTTTTTTTTTTTTTTTTTAAATAAGAAAGTGCCCACTTTTTAAAATAAATCTGTGAATGATATTTATAGGAAACATGCCTTTGGTAATACTATGAATTTCAGCATATGAATAACTGTTCTATTTATCATGCAAACTAACATTCAAGCAATCAGCTGAATGTTATTTTTTTTTTATCCTGCTATCAAAATTTTCACATTCAGAGTGTAGAAATTTAATTCCATGAATAGTGTATACATATAACAGATTGCAAAAATTAATTCAGTGATTTACAGTTAAGTTCATGAAATGCTTATAACTGTGAATGAATATGCACTTCAATCATGAGTAATTTGCTTTCAGCCATAGGAATTTCTGATAACTATCTTAATGATTTGATAAATACTGATAAATAATCTAAATTCATTATTATAAATTAAAATAACAGTTCAGTCTCAAGCAAAAAGCAGTGGTAGAAAATACTAAAAAACAAAGAATGCAATGAAAAGTAACAAATTACGTTAAATGGCTACTGTATCACACTGAATGGTTGTTAATGTTTCTAACATAGCATTACAGTCAATGGTATTTACATTTAGAAGGCTCTATGGGAAGTAAAATGATTTTAAAGGCAAATAAATCATACCTTATTACAATGCAGATGATGACTACTGTGAAGATAACTAAGCAAACAGAAACAGCAGCCAGGAATGTAATCAAATGATACGGACCTGTATATGCCATCAGCTCTCCATTATACACTAAAAAAAGGGAGGTTTAAACAAATATTTCCTTTTAAAAGTCAAAACAAAACAATAATAATAATAATAATAAAGGTTTTCTGTTATCGAAGGAAAGGCAAAAAGTTTGCAAAAATACCAAACAAAATATACAGTCACATATAATATGAAAATATATTCATTGTTTGGGCTTCAAAACACTTATTTCATAATTTTTTTAACAGTTCAGACTATTTTTAATATCAACATACTAAAAAACAAAAACAAAATATTAGGCATATTATGAGTAGCTAAAAGGGTATAAGAGAGGGGGAAATATTTTAAGGCTCTGATACTCATTAAGCATCATCTGATGATCTTTAGTGGAGCTTCTAACTGGCCAAAATTGCCACATTCCACTGCTTGAAAAATATAAGGACAAAAACATAAGCAAAATATTCTTATTTTATTTTTCCATGTTTCATATGGAAAGAAAATTGGGTCATAAATACTGGATCATATTCTGGAATTTCTGGAGAAAAGTTATAGTTTTTTTAATGAAACTCTAGAATGCTAGGCTCGCAATGAAAAAAATTTATACCATAACACATGCTTGGAATAAATAATGTTAGCAGAAAAAAATAAATCTATACATCTGTTTTAAAATGTATTTGAGACTGCATCAGTGATTCTGAAGGTGAACGTGCTTGACCTAATCCTCCATCAAGAGGTCAAATATGTAAGACCCACCAATTTGTATTTAGAAATCCAAAGTGTGAATTCTGCTGTTTTTACAGTTGACTATAATTACAGCAAAACATTCTATGATATGCTTCTATAATGGATTTCCTAACAAAATCCCATTTATTTTACATACTTGGGGGGGGGGAAATCAGTAATTTTTACAGCAACAGCATTTTTATTCAGAAAGAAAATTTGCCAAGCTTCAATACAGAAAAAAGTAAGACAGCTATGATATAACAAATTTATTCACATCATTTTCCACTTCTTCAAGACATTCACATTAATAGAGCTGCTTTAAATTTTAAAATGAATTCATCTACATAGTGACTGTTTTAATCTTACTAACTGATTTGCATGTAGATTTTGGGTGCATGGACTCTGATTGATGAAGCAATAATAATGATGATCTTCAGGAAAACGGGGATATCTAATACAATGATGGTTCTGAAGACTGAATGTGGAAAGATCAAGTGAATGGTGACTAAAATGTTGACAAGAGTGACTGTAGTGATGACTTGCACACTGCAACAGATGGCACAAAGAGCAACATTAAATGATTTGAGGCCTAGAAAGTAGAAGTGGACAACAATAAGGCTGGAAAGATTCAAGATACAGGGCAGAAGAAATGAAAATATCTAATTAGATGTTGTTAATATTACTATGCTATTGGAATGACTGGTTTGTGATTTTATTGGAATGTAGGTTTCTTTCAAATTAATGTTGTGATAACTACTGAAAATTTATTTATCTATACTTTTCATTTGTTATGCTCTTACAGTAACTGTGTCCTTCAGAATTAAATTATTCACATATTTTTCTCCTCTTGATTTCCATACAAAATAGTTTATAAAAGGGGTGGGGAATACGCAAATAAATATATTTTTTACAGGTATCTATCAAACAGAAGTTCAATCTAAATTGGAAAATTAGGCCAAAATCTATAATACACTGATAGATTGTATAGAAAATTAGGTTTTAAGAGCATAAATAAAAAGTCATCTTCTTTAAGGAGTGATCTTGCTGTGAAGTGCAAAATTTTTTAAACAGATGAAATGAAATTGAATAAAAATTATACATTCTATAGGACAAAACACCCTTTAAAAAACATCCAAAACTGGAATTAATATCATTAATACAATTAGCAAATTCTTATGAATAAGCAGATTTGGAAAAAAAAAAAAAAAAAAAAATTATCAACTGGAGTTTTGCAGAAATGGATTCAGGACCATAAGGGCCCGTTCAGACGAGGGCGTAAAGGACATAAGTGGTTAAAGCCGAGCTCCGTTGGCAAGGCAACCAGTCACTGCTACGTCACAGAATCTGGTTTAGGGCTCGTGGCACAAGGTTCCAAGGTTTCAACTTTACGCCGAGTTTGGGATAAGCGTCGACCAATCAGAGCGAAGCTAAAACGAAGCGGCTTTCTTAAGACGATTTCGCAGTCACATCGAAGGTGACTTTTTTTTAATATGGAACACATCGTATCCGAATGAGTTGTAAATTGTATCCGACAAAATAATGAGTTGTAATCATATCCGAACGAAATAAAGAGTTGATTCGCAAGAATCTACGATGATGACATGCATTTTTTAATGAGTTTTTCAATTTATAAAAAAATATGGATGAACTCGTAAGCGAAAGTTAAGCTCAGGATTATGCACGCTGTGTATGATCCTGTAGATGATTGATCCCTTCCAATATTTTTCATTTTATTATGAAATTCTTTAAAAAAGCATGCTTGCAAAAATTTTATTTTTCTGTGTAAATTATTATTACTTTCTTCTGTCTATAATTTTTTTAAATTATTCTGTAATTTTTTCCTGTTTAATTATTTTTGTATTTAAGAATAAATTTATTAAAAAGCTGGAAATATTGTATTGGTATTTGCTTCAAATGCTGATTTTTTTTAAACAACTTCATGAATTAATTTTACTAAAACATCAATCAATATCAAGAATTTGCTGTGTTTTTTTAACAGTAAAAATATTACTTAAAAAAAAAATATTTTCACTTATTTAAGAATAGTCACAATAGTCAATTCAATGTGGTAAGCTTTGATAAGTACTAAAAGATTATCTTTTGAGAAAAATGCTCTTATGAATCCAAGAAAGAAAAAATGTAGTGAAATATCCTTAAAACAGCAGTCAACAGTTTGTCTCCTGTTAAAGTCCAGTTTGTCTGTTCTGTTTTTTAATTACGTTCTCCATGAAAGGAATTTACTTTTAATGAAAACTAAATGGCACACATAATTCTAACAGGACTATAATTTAATGAATAGTATTTGTTATTATTATGCACTCTTTATTACTATCATTGAATGAGTTTTGATCATTAAATTCAGCTATTTCTCTGGTAGAAATCCTGGATAAGGTATGAATGTTTATAATTTTGATGTACTTGAAGACCTTGGGTACCTAAAATTTGTCAATGTGAAATTACTTTGAGATTTAGTCGTAAATAGAATGACAGCATATCTTGAAATTAAATCAGTGGTGTGGCTTATACATGAAATTATAAAAATAGATGTATACAAACAGCTGGCAAGCAGCAAATGTATTTAATGATTGAGCATAAAATACATTGTTGGTTGAACGTTTCCTAGTATTGTACTAGTTGTGGTTGCTGGTCATTGGTGACCAGTTGCGGGATACTAGTTCTAGTGATAATTGATATTGGTAGTGCAGCCAACTACTATAGTGAGCGACAGTGACAGTGAATAAGGAGTGCTAAGCACACATGTTTCATTGTCACAGAAACATGTTCCTTTTGATTGAAAATTTAAAAAATATTTATATAATGTATGGTAAGTACTGTTTTTAGCTTAACTGCTTTCACACTTGCAAAATAGAAAAATATTATATACAGGTTATTTGTTAGTTATCCTCAAGATTTTTTTAAAATTAGGCATATTAGAATATCGTATTTTCCTAGAGAAATTATATATAAAAAATTGAAGAAGGTTTTATGTAGTATATAAATATGCATGTGCAGTTTATAGTATAGAGAGTACTACAGTACAATGCAGAATATTCCATACTGCTTTGTACAGAAAGAAGATGTGCCAACCAAGTATGTTCTTTCAAAAAAATATCTAGACCATGTTGTTATTTTTCTTTTTTTTACCTTCATCCTCTTGGCTAATGAGAAGGGTCAGATAAAAGATCATTCTGTTGAGACAGTAAACTTTGTGGCGAGCTGAAAAGCCATGACACAACTAAAAAACAAGCAGAACGAACGCGGGAGGAAATCAATCAAGCGGGAGAACAGCGCGGGAAAGTTGTAGACATTCCACGCAAGCGCAAATTTAGCTTCTCTCATTGGCCATGGCTTACACCTCGTTTTCGCAGGTGTGAACGGGTCTCCCGTATTTTATGCCCTTATGACTATGCCTCTATGTGCTTTACGCCCACGTCTGAACGCACCTTAAGTGATTAGATATAGAAGATTTTATTTCCTCTCCCCCCCCGACATAGGATTCTTTTTCTTCAACACAAAATTTTAATGCTGTCTCACCATGCTATAAAGTCCCAAGGAATTCAAACCTGAAGTCAACATTAAAATTAAAATGAAAAGAACTTAGATTGGTGTAGATTTTAAATAAAACTCTTATCAGTTTTGAGGGTGATGAAATCCTACTGGAACAAAAAGTATGAAGGGTAAGAGCCTTATTTATGGGGGGGAATCACTGGTGGAGCAAAAGATTAGATGAATTTTGAGCTGTTTGTTGAAGATAATAATGTAATGAATGAAATGTTAAAAAAAAAAGCTGTTTTGCAACCAAAGTTAAATGATAAACCAGATGTAATTAAAGGTGCCATGGCCAAAATATCTCAGTCTACCTTACTTTATGCAGTTCTTAAATTGGAGGCCTGGACCTATGACTATTTTTCAAGATATATTTAAATGTGAAACACTTTTCGCAAATCCTGAACACATCAAATTAATTTTTTTATTTATCAAGAAGATAAAAGCTTCGAATTTTTTATAATTTTTCATCAAGTTATTATACAATGAAATTTAGTGTTCGGTTCACTTTCCACGTACCAGATTCAAGGTTTTGATATGGAATACTTAAAAATGATTTCTTTTTGGATAAAGATAATTTTATACTTTCAGGAAAGCACTTATTAATGCTATATTAAATAAAACCTATTGGTAGATTTACCAGACTGAAAAATGTTATCCTAATATAAAAATAGTTTCACCAACTACATAAGACAACACTCCATGTTTTGTCATCCTATTTTATTTCCCTCTTCCTTAAAAATGCACTGAAAGAGTTAGATTAATTTATGCTTAAATAACAAAATATATATATATATATATATATATATATATATATATGAGGGAAAAAAATATTACTTGGACTTGGAGTAGCAGGTCTGGCAACAAATTTTGGTACTAGATATTTATTACACATATCGCTGTTCGAGCAACAAGCAATAGTCTTGGGTACTTGATGAGGTACTAGATGGCCTTTGCACTGAAAATAAATGCTTCAGATTTTAAAAAGCAATGAACAATGAAAACTGAATTCAAATTTTGAATAGAATTATAATATTAATCAATTCAAATAATTATTTTGGAAGAGAATTAAAATCTTCAGATTTTTTAAATGAATAGAGATAAGGTAACACTTTCATAACAAAAAGTATCTTATGTATACATAAAAATTTAAAGAATATTTTTTCAAGTGAAGAAAAGCTGCAGCTTTTCTCATTTATGTTTTTTTAGATAGATGTGAATTTTTTAATACAAGTTCTATATACCCCTTCGGCTTTGTTACTTGCTGACTTGGATTATATAAAGTAATTCAGATTTCTATTACAACAAAAATTTTTTTAATCAAAACTGAAATCACCCTTCTTATTTAATTAATGCAACAAGACACTTGCTTTTTTTTCTTTAAAGTTGTGTTCACACTCGTCCGTTGGCATAAAAAGCGGAAATGTGAAAAAAAAGTACATCAATTCACACCAATAATTTTGTGCGGTACTGTGATTTCCTATGATTACATTTTTTAATTAAAATGGATCCAATTTCTCCTATATCAAAACTTATTTTACTTCTTACTTTACATGCCAAAAGAAACAGAAGTTGATGGGTTGTACTGATATGTGACACATGACTACAAGCAAAGATATTCAAATAATTTTAATGAAATATGATTTAATGACATACACAGTTTTACTTAATTACTTTTAGCAAGAAACATCATCAATTTGAATACTAATTTTCAACAGACTATCCCAGAAAAGAATCATTGTACATAGCTCATTTATTTTATTTATGAATTTTGTTGAATAATTAATTGTTTCATGATGTACGTAGTACTTTAATATCTGGTTATAACAAAATTTTTCCACCAAAAAACGTTCTTTGCAGTCCGAATTGCTTTTGCCAGAAAAATAAATGCATATTATTTTTGTCTTCTCTTCTCCCCCCCCCCCCAAAAAAAAAGAGAAAGAAAAAGTCATGGAAGATAAAAATTTGGTTAATTCATATGGTTATCAAAGATGAAAAAAGCACAGCACAAACCTACAATATACAGTAACCACTGCATTTTGTTATCAGCGCATTACCTCAGCACAAAGATATTGTTAGCAGAAAACTGATTTTTAATCTTTGTCTTCAGCAAACTGAATAAGTATATGCTGCTTTAATTCTAGTGATAAACTTTTGTGTTAGTAATTTTTTTTAAATACCAATTCTGGTATAATACCACCCCTTGTGGGACTTGAATCCAGGATTTTCGGCTCTGGAGGCTAAGTTTCATCTATTAGACAACAGGAGGTCATAAAAGCAACCTTAAATTGGCATAGATTTTAAGTAAAATTGAAAAGCTAGGATTTCGAAATCTATCATAATTTTCTCACAACAATCCACTGCTTTAAGTTGTTATGTAAAAATTACCAACCATATCTCACTTATGGTTAATAATTATGATTAATTGTTTTTAATAAATTTCAGAATTTTCTTTACAATAATTTATTCAATTATTGTATCTATAATACTTTTAATTATCATGTGAACTTTTTTATTAATCCCTTAACAATCACATAATTTTCAAAAAACAAGCATAAAAAACTTTTTTTATTCAAGAAAATTGTTTAAAAATAAGTGTATGAACAAAATATGTATTCATTTTTAATTTTAATTTTTTTTAAAAACTTGAAATCAAGAAAATTTAGCTTTCAGAAGAAAATCAGCAATCAAGCTTAAGAAATGGATGGTTTTTAATCTTTTGGGCACTCCAGCTCAGAAATATCATGGGCACGAGAAATAGAGGGCAAAATCCCACATGTAACTTTGATGGGAGAGAAAATACAGAGATTAGGATTATTCAATCTGACTGCCTGGCAATCCAGAAAATACGATTTCTGAACTTGTTTCTAACTAGTTGTCAGTTTACATGACCTAGTTTACTAATGCGTGACCACATTAGTGCGAATTCGCCTTAAGTCTTTACCTTCTGCTAACACAATTTCTTGCTTTATGATATTCTAATAATTGCAAGGTAAGTCAGTGATTATCCTCAATGCATTTCTTATGCTACACCTTTCTTTTGTGTATGTTTGATGTTGCTAATTCAGTTCTAGCATACTACACTACCATTAAACCATGGCAGCTTTTTGTTTGCACTAAATAAGATAAATACAAAGTTCAGTAATCCATTTCTTGTGATCTGGAAGGCATATCAGGTGCTTTAATCCAACAAAAATTTTAAGCAACATTCAGAAATAATGTTTTGTAGTAAAAGTGCTTGACTGAACTGAAAGAACAGTCACATGGAAGTTACACAAAAGAAGAAACCAAGTACCCAATTACAGCCATGAATACAGCAATACTAAAATGCTCTATCAAATATATGAATGATTATTGATGAAGTAACAAATCAAATTTTTTATAAATTTATTACCTTACATAAAATCATCTTGCCAAACTATGCTTTCATAAAGTCTGCAAAAAACATATTCCAAAACAACTCATAATATTGCATATACACACACGAACACTTATCAATAACATCTGGAACACTACAGTGACAAATGTAGTGTATTTTATACAGTTTGCTTCCAATAATCCAATAAATATTCATGTATTTTATACAAAGAGGCAATAATTTTAAGTTTCTTTGAGAATGTCTTGCAGCATGACCAACATTAAAACATAAAAATTTCCTTTTGTATCGTAGAGTTCTGATATGTTCTACGTGAGAATTAATATGAGGAATTATTATTGATATGACTGCTCAGTTTAAGAATTAGTTTTCAACACTACTACATTTATAGCATCATCATAAATTATTCTAAGAATGAAGAAATTCTCACAAGGTCATTGATATTCATATGAAGGAATAAAGTGTCCAAAATATAATAATAATAATAAACCTTAACTGAGCAGGTGAGAGTTTTTTTTTTTTTTTTTTTTTTTTTTTGTTTTTTGTTTTAAGCATGAATTTTGCAAAAATGTAAGCCTTCTCTAATCATCATCCTATCTAACTACATCATCATAAAATATGTAAAAATCTGAAGAGCTTTTGGTTCTATGGAGTAAATTTTCATTGGTGCTATGTCCCACACTTCCAGTTTTTACTATCATTCTTAGACTTATTGGCATCTCACCAATAGTGAGAGTTGGTTACCACCGAACCATGAAAGTTAGTGGTGATGCTGAAAGGTTGTGCTAATTGTTCCCATAGAATTCTTAGTTGCACTTATATCCAAAACTCTTACAATAAAACTTTCATCAGTCTTTCAGCACAATCAATCAAATAGCCACTGCTACGGAAATATATGACTTGTTTTATTTTTGGACTTCATAAAAAACTTTTGGTAATCTCTACTATTTTGTTACGACAATTTTAATAACACACCCTTTCCAAAATGCTTAAGTTTGAATTTCCCCGCAGGTCATTCTTTAATTTATTACTACTATGTTGGCTGCATACAGCTGTTTTTTTTTTTTTTCGCATTTAACAGACAGATCTTAATTCTTTCAACCAGCTGTAAATGAACCACAGGTAGTAACAAATGTGATTCTACATGAGTCTTCTTCTATAAATGAGTCTTAGAGCTCACTTTTTGTTTTTCCAAAATGCAAGAAAAAATAAAGTAATAACAGCTATTTTATATCCTTGTTTCTAAATTAAAATATGTTAAAAAGTAATTTAAAATCAATTCTGGTTACATCAAATAAAAGCCAGGTGTTAAAAGCGTGTTACAATTTCACACTTATCTGTAACTGATGCTAAAGGCTGGTTTAAACTTCTCCATCATCCAAGCGTCTCAAACTGAGTGAAGGGACCCATCAAAGATCAAGAAAGTTTATGTTACGGAGTTCTTAGGCATAAATGCCTTTACCTCTACATCATCTGAAGAATAAAATGTCATCATCAAAAGAGGGGATTTTCTAATATGGTAAAAATTTTGATAAGTCGAAAAAAGCTTTTAATAATAAGTGCCTTCACACTGAGAAAAAGGTAAAAACTCAAGGTCTAATTTTATGCCAAAATAAAGATCAGAATAATTTAGATAGGGGCAGTCATCATCCACAAAATTTTTTACTAAAAACTAGAAAATAAAAGCAGGTGTTTCTTTGATACTTGAACTTTCTTTACGAACTTCAAAGAGTGAAGAACCCGTAAAGGAAAAGTCAATGACTGAAGGGACCTGTACTCTGATAGATTGTTTACACCAATCAGACCAGACTACAACTTGCCTTCCTTTGTTTGCAAAATGGATACAGACGTACAAACTGCTGCAGAGTTTATGAAGATTTATACATTTTTAATTATCATGTGAATTTTGTTTATTAATCCCTTAACAATGGCATAATTTTCAAGAAAGCAGTATCCAACACACAAAACCTAAATGAAATATGAAATCAAGCTTTTTAATGGTCACGCTCCTTTTTATATAAAATAATAGGCCTTAAAATTGTCCCAGCAGAAACAAAGCTGTATCAGTATTGCCTCATTTCCATAAATGATATGAGTATACTTGAAACAGTGTTCTTTTCGCTTGCCCCAATTCGAGATGCTATAAGAAAGGCATTCATATTGTCTTACTCTAAGGATTCCAGCAATTATCATTTTTTGTTTATGAAATGGAATGATAAACAAAAATTTAGATGTCTAATTAAAATTTAAATAATTTTTGTACACCAATTACCATTTATTGTCAATCTTTGCAAGAAACAAGCAACACAATCAGTACCCAATACAGTGTCCTTAAATAGTTTTCAGAAACTTTCTTCAGTATAAATAATATGGTTTATAAAAATATAAGAAAATAAATACATTAAATTACTACTTCTCTTCAAAAATTCTTAATTGAATACACAATAATATATGCTGTAAATATAAGAATAAAAAACATTGAATCCATACTTGCATAGATTTTAAATGCTTATATTTAATTTAAAAAAAAAAAAAAAAAAAAAAAAAAACACTATTCTTCATACCTGCATGAAGCCATTTGAATCTGGTGGCAAGCACCCATATGTTATTTCATTTTCTAGAAGACCAGTTTCAGGATTATAAACTTCCTCTATTGCACTAAAACACTGACTATCTGGACGAGCAAAACAGGAACCATTTGGCTGGTTTGGAGGGCATTCACCAGCACAGTAACAAATTAAAGCAGATACTGAGAAAGAAAAACAAGAAATTTTAAAGCAAAATGCAGTGAATTTAAGAAATCAAAACACAATATACACTTATAAAAATATAATGTAATATGCATATATATATATATATAATATAAACTAATTTATACATCTATACAAGAGATATGCAATTACATATAGATATCCCATTCTTTATTAAATGCCTGCTTTACACTAACTTGCTTTAATAGGGATGTGAATTCTGTTAAAAGTATTTTTGCTTTTATAAAAAAAGGTGAAATGTTAAAAATAAGATTGTTTTTTCATGTATTGATTTTAAGGCTAGTTTTGCAGACTGTCTGGTTTACTTGTGAGGATTACATGGTAAGAAAACTCTGTCTAAATAATGAAACCCACTAGTTTATATCAAATATTTTACAGTAGGCACACCACATAATAAAGATAAGCTTCTATCACTGGTTCAAACAAACACTGAAATTGTAAACATAACAACTTGATGGATACAAATAATGAGAATTGCTAAATAGATGATTGCTGGCCACCCTTTTCTTACACTGCAGGTTTTGCATCTCCCACTACTAAATTTCTGACTCATTTTAATGCAACAACATTACTGTAAAACATTTTAGCACCAGTGCCAGAGCCAGTCATACTGAGAGGCAAAACTTTAAGAATTTAGTAAAAAAAAAATCAGGTTGCAGAGTTTGCACTGGGTAGCAAAAAGTATAATGTTGGCTCTGCCAGCTTTTAATCTTTCAAAGTGCTTGCCATCTAACTGAGAATTCCAAAAAGTGAATGTACACTTTTCTTACATTATTTCTATGGATTGTTTATTTATCATATCACTTTCAACTTTCCTATCATAAAAAGTGGAAAATACCATGTATGTGTTAACAACTCTTCCACACATTTTGACCGTAATACAGACTGAACAAATATTTTAACTCATTAGTAAGTGTGTTTACTTAATTCTGACAGTGCTATTCAGTTTCCTTTTGAAACTGAATTTGACAACTCTTTTCCTAAAATTTCTAATTATTAAATTCAACTTCAACATTACTCTTTTTCTTGCTTGCCTTCTCATACTAAATTATATCATCCTGTTTACTAAAAAATCTGATGCAGACATGAATGATTTCCTCATACGAAATATTAAATTATATACATTTTTTTGCTGCATTTCATTTAAACTTGTGTCCTCGAAATTCATTACAGATATATTTCTCATTAAATTAATTTAGTTCTTACTTCGCAGCAAAGCAAAAATGCATAAAACCTCAAAATATCTTCATTAGAAATTGAAAAATATAGAAAATCGTAAAACACCAAATACAGTTAAAACAAATTTTAAAAAAATTATAATTAAATAGAATTTCAATGCAAGAGCAAGCAATTTGGTCAGCAGATAAGAAGGCAGATTTTTCACAAAACTGAAAGTTTACTTTTGGTCCAACTCGGCAAAAAGACAAGGAAGATGCAAAAACTGAATTCACTATTCTGGCCAAGTTTCAAATGTAAACAAATGTGCCTGCTATGGTAAAAAGAAAAATTAGGCTTAGTCGCACTTAAACAACTATTAAATTGTTGATAATTCTACAACTATTGCATGCAGATTAACTAAAGGCATAAAAACCTTAACTGAAGTTAAGAACAACATAATTCAACCATTTTTAAAGCAAAAATTGCAGAATCTACCAATATACAGGAATAAAAAAAAACTGAGCCGAGAAACAGATATCATTTTTCTTTAAGTTTCATTAATTTTTTTTAATTGGTGTATTGCTTGTTTAAGTTTTGGTTTTAACATTTTAAAATTCTTTATTACATTTATATGATTATTTTAAATTTATTAATTATGAATTTCAATTTTTGGTCTGTGTGAAAAAAGAGTTCTAAATTTCTTACTTTATGTCTTTACTGATAATTTTTCAGCAGCTTAATGCATGAAATACTAGGCATGTTTATATTTTGCTTTTAAAAACAGTGTTTTGTAATTGTATATACAGTACAAAGTCCGTAATCTGGACGTCCATTATCCAGAATGATCCATAATCCGGACCTCAAAGCCACAAACTTATGCATTCGCGTAATGCATTTACGCATGCGCTTTCAATGCGCGCATCCGCTACGCATGCGTGTAAAGCGTTTACTCATGCGCACTTCCTATAGTGAAGAAAGTGACACAGAGGTTATTGAAAACGAAAAAATATCGATTGAGAAGTTAGTCGGAATTCTCGACACAGCAATTACAGGACTTGAAAAGTAGAACTGAACAAGAAATTACGTCTGTTTATAGAATTAAAAAGAAAGATGTAACTGACCAAGAAATTACGTCTGTTTATAGAATTAAAAAGAAAGTATTAGCACAAAAAATGAAGCAACTTAAACAACTTACATTGAAAGAAATGTTTAACAAAGTAAACAAATATATATTAAGCTTTTTTTTTTTTTTTTGTAAATTTTGATACCCTTTAAATCATAATTGTTCTTTATTTCATAAATTACGATTTCATATTTTTAATTGCATAATTTCTGCATGCCATCTTACCAGATTTAAATTGATGATCTATAATCCGGAACCGCCGACGTCCCAAGTCTGGATTACGGACTTTGTACTGTATATACTTTTGGTGTGGCCGATTTCAACTAAAGAGAAATGAAATCAATTTTATACTACGTTTGGGACAAAGAGTCCTTTATTCTGTGCTTACATGCATGTACGCAGAGATGTCACAAAAAATTCTCTTCAGATTTCATTTTAAATCAGTTTAAAATTTTTTTTTGGGGAAAAAGGGTCTTTTATTCTGTCTTTACGTACAGATGTCATGCAAAAACACTGTTCAACTGCATTTGATACTGGTCAAAATGGATATTTTCATTGAAATATTATACCAATTTTTCATGATTACAATACTTCCTTTAGTTTGTACAAGGAAGTTAAAATAAACACACATACGTATATATATTTTTAAAGTTTACTGCACCCTCAAAGTTTGTTCTTCACAATGTTTTGATGCTCGGAAACTCAATAATCTGAAATCTGATGCCACTGATACATGCTTTTCTCCACAACTATTAATAAAGCCTTTAAAAAATGATAAATTAAAGATACTCCTTTTCCCATTACAAATAGCCACAGTAACTTGTCATTCTACTCTTCCCTTCTATTACTTAAAAAATTATATAGAATTTCCATCAGTTCAACATATAGGTTATTTTCTCATAATTTTGTTTTTCTAAAAGAGTACTAAAAATTTTGTATTAAGGAAATGAAAAGAAGAAATAAATAAATCTTTAACAGCTATTTAGTTGATCCCATAACAACAAGTTTGACTTTAATTCTGTTAAAATTATCCTTGAAAATTCTCCAACTGTAAATTATATTTCTTTGATGTCTTTCATGCTTACAAAAATTTATCTCTTCAGTTAATGACAATAATTTCAACCTAGTTCCATTTTAATGCCATCAAAATTCTAATACCTCAGTTCCCCTCTTTTAATTAATTAATTAATAGATAACAATATGTTCGTTTAAACTTTGCTTCACCTATTTATTTCCATATTTATCTGTTTTTTCTTCCTCAACTGCAACATTTCCCCCCTCCAGCAGAAGCAGCAAAAGAATGATGTATAATAACTGCAGTAATATTTATAAAGTCAGAATGTCTTTGTTTTAATCCTGAGCAGTGCGAGTAGAAGATTTCACACTGCCGTTACTTCAGAAAAAGCGTGATGTAACATGGTGAAGTATGGAGTCTTGAAGAAGGATTTATGTAATTAAAATTAAGATTTAAAGGTCTGTTCCAAAGATGAAGAGATAAAATTTAAGTCATACATCAGATTAATTACAGTCAGAGTCTTATAACAGAAGTTTATTTCCATTTTCTCTTCTTTTTGAAGATTACAAAATACTTCTGCAATGAAACTTAATTTTTTCCAAAATATTATTTTATTTATTCATTTCTAGAGAATACATGCTTTATATCTCATATAGAGATCTCTCCAAGTCAGGAGTCATCAAACTGTAGACAAGAGGGAATTTCGTAGTTTCAAGAAGGGTCAGCCTTTTATTTAGCAGATAGCATTTAGTTTGTTTAATTGAATACAAAAAAACTACTTTTACCAACATTATGGTATTTATAAACATTTTATGTACTTTTCTTTTTAATTTATAACACATATTAAAAATAATCTAAGTTTAAATAAATGTATGTATATTTTTCAAGTTTCAGAAAAGAAAGGCGAGGGAGAATGTTCATCTAGCAAAGATGAATGGAGTATAAAAAGTTGAGTACTACTGCTCAAATGAATTTATTTGCAAGTTGAACATTTAATTAATGCTTTTAAAATCAATCGAAACTTCATTTTAATAGTTACAAAAATTAAATATTTTTTATTTACTACAGTTTTATTTCTGTAAAATTTCTTTAGACTTTCCTTTCAAATGACACAAAATGTGCTCTCAAACAATAGTTATTTGTAATTTGATTTTACTCTTGAAAGATTTAATAACATTCGAAAATTTTTTTGCTGGTCAACCATTTTTTCTTTTTGGAAACTGAATTAAGAGATTCTAGCTAATAACATAATTCAAATTCTTCATTATTTTAAACTTTAAAGTAGAATAGGAACAAATATATTTCATCCAGAAACTGGACGTATTTATGGAAACAACGGAAAATAAAAATCGACGCAATTTTTAAAATCAATTCAATTCTTTCTCCAATGGACATATTGCGTAATACACATTTCGCTGAAATGTTAAGAGGGACAACATTTATCATCTTCAGGAAATATTGCAGATGTAACTGAGGCATTTTACCACTGCTTGTAAGATGCTCGAAAAAGAGAAAAAACAAAGTTAAGCGAGAAAGGGGAGGGACCTTAATTCTACGTTGGCGCCGCAAATGCGACCGCCATTTCGAAATACAGATATGATTACTTCCTCTATTCATTTTAATTTCCTTCAAAGTTTACGGATAGTTAAAAATTATACTGATTTTTAATCTTTAAGTAGCAA